AGAGGGACGGGCCCGTTTTATGTTGGGCTAGGCCCATTATATGACGGGCTAGGCCTAAATATATGTTGGTTGGGCCCATTGATTAGGAAGGTCTAGGCCCATAATTATGGGTTGGGCCCAATGTGTGGGCTAGGTCCAATGATATGTATGGTATATGGTATTTTAGGGAACTCGTTAAGCTTTGTGCTTATAGTTTTTTTGGTTATGGTTTTAGGTACTTCCAGTTCAAAATGGAAGGGCTCGACATGACTGCACAACATACCCAAAGTTTTATTCCGCAGTAGCTGCTTATAACTTTTACTCTGATGTTTAAATATTATTTTTACCTTGAATGCTTTTGGGAACAAATTGTTATGTGGATTAATGTTTTGAAAATGAATTTTTCCATGGATTTTAGGATGTTACAAAAAATAGTTGTGAAGTTTCAATGTACGAACATTAAGAGATTATTGAGAAAAAGGGTCGTAGTTTGATGCGACATTTTAGATTCAATGTGAGGTAACAAAATATGATACTTCACAAAGAATTTAGAAGAGAGCCAGAAAGTGCTGGTATAGCCACCTATAGAATCATAGTAGCAAAATGGAAACGCAATAGGGTTATAACGTAAGTAAGAGTAATTGGTCAAGAATTGTGTTGGTTTATAACCACACTTTTGAAAAGAACAATGAAATTGATAAGTATATGCTTATGGTTGTATAAAGTGGGACAAAAGATGAAATATATTGTTATGTTTGCAATATGCTCGCATAAAAGTTGATATAATAGTAGATGTGCAATGACATTCATTGTTAGTGGATGGATGAAGAAAGTTTAATAATTGCACTGAGAATCCGAGGAAATAGCAAGTAGATTGCTATTTTGTGTAATGGGAGTTAAAGAAGAAACAACAATAGAAAAAAGTCATAGAATGAGAGAATGACTATGAAAGTTATGGAAAGATTATGAGGATGGAATCTCTTTAAGGATAGGAGATTGTAAGAACCCAAAATTTAGAAAGAATAGAATTAAAAAAGAGTTGTTGACCAAAATGAATTTCATGATTTTTGTGAAGATGTAGCTTCGTGAAATTAGTCGAGATAAAATGTTTGATGACATTTTCCAAAGCTACGACGGACGTCGAAGAAGCCAATGTAAGGGACTATGAATTTAGTCAAAAACTTAATCAACTTTCAAATGATCTAGCACAACAAGTAAATAAAAAAGAAAAATGGATAGCTGAAACTTAGAAAAAAGTCAAAGATGATGAGAAGTGGATTCAAGATGCAAATGCGAAGATTGATACGTTTCAGGAAGAACGAGACTATATTATAGATGTTGTTAGAATTAAAGGAGATTTTATCGACCACGAACAAAACATGTATCCCTTATAATTTCCAAATTTGTGGAAACTAATATAAGTATGTAATAGCTTTTGTAACGTTCGTTTAACATTTGAAAGAAAAAAACACTGCCATTTAAGAAAACCATACCGTTTCTTTTACATATTTAATTAAAAATTACATTACGTTATCTAAAATTAGAATTCATTTCCAGGATAACTAGGAACTTGTATACGGTGCAAACTAGGAGTGTCTACATGATTTTCAAGCAATTCCTTGTAGGTCTTAAATAGGGGGGACACATTATCAGTCATTTGCACTCGTTCTTCTATTGTTGCACATCATGCTTCTTTAATGATGTTCATTGTGTTCACAAACCGTAGTATATCTTCATACATTATAATGAAAAGTATTTGCATATAATACAATGCTAGTTTTCTACGCTCCTCGGCTGCAGAAAGCGATGATGAGATTTCTAGTATTACCATTCATTCTTTCACATGTTGATAATCACAAATCATTTCTAACACATTCGTATCAACAAGACGTCATTGCTTGTATTCAAGACGTAGTATTTCATATTCTATTGGAAACACATCCTTATCACTCGAATCATTGGATGTCGGAGACCGTGATTAAAAATATAAAAAAACCAATTAAAAAATGTACCAGAAATAAAAGTAACTTACATAAATGTATCCATAACAAAAATTATAAAATTACAACTACTCTAAAATAACATGTTTGTTTAAACTTGCTCTGATCATATATTTCAGAGTTCTATCTGATTTCATTTTAAGTTTTAACGCCCCCTCTGATTTCATTCATAATGTTATAGTGCCCTTGATGGTTTGCTATATGATTTTTTTTCTAGTTCAACTTCTAGTTTTTTTACCAGCAAAAAACAATCCAACAACATTTAAATATAGTACCATAAAAAATATATGTATACCAATTTCTTTTAATTAAATTTTACCTTTATCGAACGCAATTCTGAAAGCTCATGTTGATGCAAAATAATTTCTTCATCCGCAAAATCAATTTTTTAACAACATTCACGCAAATTGATCTTCGGACTAATACGAAGTATTGGTTTAACGCATATCAATTTAAAAATATCGGAAACAAAAATAAAAAATATCTTATTAGTATTCTAGACTATTTATGTGATTCCGAACTATCATTCCCGAAAATGATATTCGTATTTCGAATTGTTAGTACCATTCCAGAATCATATGTAATGGTAATCTAGACTTATTTGCTCTCTAAGAAGTGATACTAACATATTTTAAGGTACTTATATTGTTATTATATAGCTAAAACTAAAAATAATTACAAAAATTAAGTTGTTCTAGACTTGTTTCTTGTATTTCACAATTTTTCTATGCATTCTGAAATATAGAAAACCGTTTGTAAACTAAAATACAAGTAAGCTAAATAATAGAATTCACTAGAAAAACTATGTTCGAATTTTTGGTAGCAACAAGTTCATAATTTAAGTTTCCGGAATGATTATTTCGGTTTTTGGATGTTAACCTATATATATAACATTGGACTATAGCAGTGGATTTGACCCGTTTTGGTCTACTTCAAAATATCAATTTCAAAGATAGTGGTTATTTTGCAAAAAAAATATAATTATTATTTATAAAAACAATATAAAATATCGTAAGATTACTTAATTTCCCTTAAAGTTCTATATTTATCAAGTAAAATATGTTTAAGGTGTAAGAGGGATGTATAACATTTGAAAGTATATTGACCTTTAAAAAACAATTTAGTCCAGTGATATTGAATATCATATAAAAAAATTAATACTAGTAAGAAAGTTTATTGAAATGCTCTAAACGGTTGTTCTCTCATAAATGACCTACGGGCCGACCTGGGCCGCACTTAACACAAACATTGTTGATCAGGGTTTAACATGGGCCGGGCTTTTGGGCCTACCTATTTGTGCAGCTCAAGCTTTGCCAACTGGCAAAGAAGCGAAAGGACGAGGTGGATAGTACATTCGGCATAAAATTTTGTACGGAAAAAGTCAAAATAGTGTTTGACTTGTCAGTGGAAAAAAAATTAAAATTGTGACCGTGACGAAAGAATCGGGACGTCCCTGGAAACCCACGCCGACACGTCATCAGTCTTCCAGCTGTCAAACTCCCTCTTTTCCACTCCGACACTACCAAGAAGTACTGTACAAAGGACCATAAGAGAGAACATGTGGGACCTGCACATTCGGTGCATGTAACCAGTCATTAATGGCATCTTGTAACAACCCCTCTATAAATATTTATATATAATATAAAAAAATAAACTTAAATCATAAAACTACGAATGTTGCATGAAAAGTGTTGATAATGTTGCATGGATTGTTGATAATCTAGCCCAGCGGTATCTGATGTTGCGCCTCCCTCCTTAAGATCGAGGGTTCAAGTCCCACTTTGAACATATGTAGAATAATTTAGGTGCAGTTTAATATATATTTGTATTTGCCGTTTAAAAAAAAAACATCTTAAAATAATTTAATTACTTATTGATTTTTTGAAAACAGTAACAAATAAAAAAAAATTTGGTAAAATGAAAATGATTTTTAAAACCATTACTTCTTAACCCTAGAAGATTTTAAAAAGTTAGAATTCATAATTTTCAGAACTTTTTAAATTCTAAAAATCAATATTATCTTAAAATACCTTAAGCTAACATAAATAATAATAAAAAATAACTTATTGACTTATTATTTTCACAAAAAAAAAACTAATCAAAATATTTATTTTTAAAAAACTCAGTTTTCTACCATCATAAGTTAATAATTTTTTTTTGTTTAAAAGTCCCTTTGACGATGAAATAAAATCCCATTTTTATAGTACACTCTTGTTTATGGTCTCATTTTTATTTTATTAACTGGATTTACTAAAAATAATATATAATTCAAATACTAAAAAAACAAATCGATCAAAATTTTTAATGGTTATGTTTATTAGATTCTATAAATACATGTTATACTATTAAAATAGGTTTATGCGATTCATATATTCTTCGATAAAAATGATTAATAAGTATTGTTGTTTCTTAAATACAATAAAAAATCGTTATTTTATGAAAAAGACAGAAATACATCGTAAAGATATCATTGTGAGAAAATGTGAAAGGTTATATAAACCAAACTTTTAATGACTTATTATATGTAAAGTTAGTCCGATAATTGCAAATGTAGATTAGAGATTGAAATGTGAAAAGCAAAATTTTAAGGGTCTAAAATGAAACTCTTTGATTTTTAAGTGTGTGTGTGTGTCTCACGGTGTATCTAGTGTGTGTTGTACTGTGAGTGTAGTGGAGCTCACACAAAACCATCAGTCCATTATTCCATCTTCACCCCTTTTTATATACCGTCTCTTACCTGCACTTCTCTCTCTCTCTCTCTCTCTCTCTCTCTGATCATACCCAGATCACAAAGAGAGGGAAATTTTCCCGCCAAAATAATACCATATCCTTCATCTTCTTCTCGTGTATAGTGGTTGCCCTAATTTTTCCCATCAATTTCTGGCTCTTTCACAGCAAATTCCTTTGCTAAGTCCCTTTAATCGTCTTAGGAACAATATCAGAGCTCTGTAAACTCTTCTGATTTTTTTCTTTTTACAAAGCTTTTGTCTTCCCTTATGTGATATGGAGTGCGAAAGTACTATGTGCCTGCGATCAATAGTGAAGTTTTCAGAACATGTGCTCAGAACGAACAAGTTTGTTGACGCAGAGTCGCCTGGTGAGCCACCGACGACGACGAACTCGTTTAAGCATAGGATCGTTAGGATCACGCTAACGGACACATGCGCCACTGATTCATCCGGTGATGATGAAGACGGACGAGTCGTCAAGAGAGTGAAGAAGCATGTTTCAGAAATCAACTTTAACCCGCCTTCTTCAAGTTTCTCTAAGCACGATCAACGCAAAAAGAGACGCGTGAGGAGCACGGGATCAGGGGAGAAGAAGTTCAGAGGTGTCCGACGACGGCCGTGGGGACGGTGGGCGGCGGAGATCCGTGATCCATCACGGCGGAAACGTGTTTGGCTCGGAACGTTCGACACGCCAGAAGAAGCTGCGACGGTGTACGACCAAGCCGCAGTTAAACTGAAAGGCCCTGACGCCGTTACAAACTTCGGTAAGGTGTCCTTTCCGGAATCCGTGATCGTTGATGGACCCAGCCCTACGGTGACAATCACCGGCAGTAGTGGTAGCGACGGATCGGCACCTGATGCGGTTTTCTCTCCGACCTCCGTACTCCCGTCTAACGTCGAGTTAACGGCGAATGAGGGTTTTGGCTACGGTGACGTGGACGCTTTCGGATTTGATATTGACATGCCGTTTGATTTGCCGGATTTTGTGGTATCGGGGAGCTACCGTGGCGAGGAGTTTGGCGAGTTTGACATCGATGATTTCCTCGTTGACGTTTAACAAATTATTTAATGATATTATAAAAATACATATATATGGTATATTCAATATATGTGGCTATTATGTAAGCATTATTAACTGATATGTATAAATGAAAATAGAGGGTAAACCCGTAATTCGTGTATGGTCTCTAGATATTTTAAATGCTAGTATTTATTAAAATGATCATTTATCGCTATCATATAATTTTTATTAACCTTATTGTTAAAACACACCAAAATTATCGCCACCCCGTGAATTTGCGGTTTTCGATCCTCAAAACGTCGTCTTTAAATACAAATAACCCATGCTTGTTAGAGTTTATGAATTTTACATTTTGTTATCTAAGCAAAGAACCCTTGGTCGCATGAATCAAATACTTCTCCGCCGTAAGAATCATAATCAGGCTATGGGTATGGTTTCACAAAGTGATGCCATCTATGCGTATGGTTTCACATAGGACACACTCCACAATTTTCTTTTTTTATTTTTTATTTTTTTTATGATTAAATTAAATAAAAACATAATTTTAAACCATAATAAAATAATTTACATTAATTGAAACCATATTATATTAATTAAAAAAACATAGAAAATTAAACCTAAATTATAAAAAAAAACATAAAAACACATAGAAAATGAAAACTAAAATACTGAAAAAACATAAAAATAACATAGAAAATTAAACCTAAATTACTAAAAAACATAAAATCTAGTTGCAATATTTGTCGAAAACTTCTTGTTGAATTTTTTAAAACACGCTTAAATTTTCCGAGTCGAGATTCGGTTGTGGCATCGTGTTTATAATTTGAAGATCGGTGAGTGCCAATTGTTGCCGACGAACTTCCTTCGTTGATTCAAAAAAATAATTCTAAAAAATTTAGAGTTTTGTCGATTTCTCCGCTAGTACGTCCTCGTTGGTTGATTTTCCGCTAGAAGGCGCCCCCTTTCTCGCTTTGTCCTTTCCCGGTGGTCGACAAAGTTGGATGTCCGGTGGAACCTCCCCCTCGGTGGCGTCGAACTCATCATTGAGGTCGAGGTTAACACCAATGTCCGACTCGTTGGAACCGGTGGTAGATTCCGAATGCGCCGTTTCCGGATAAATGACCCATTTTGGACCATTGCGACAAACTTCCCACGCTTTTTGGTTGACAAATGGTTTACCATTGTTGGTAATTTTGTATTGGTACAACGCGATTGATAAAATGTTGAAATCGTTGCTACTACTTCTATGCATATTTTTAAGATTGTCAAATACGCTGTTAAATTTGGTGCAAGCCGCTCGAAGGTCACACCATTTTGCATTGACCGAGTCGTATATCCGGCTCGTTTGCCTTCCTAATAATGCGTGAAAGTGGTCTAAAACACAATTCCAAAAGCTTTGACCCGATTGCACATTGCCGACATTCCCGTCTTGTGATATGAAAATTCAAGCTTTAGCTAAAGTTTAATCCCCCTCCTCGGTCCATTGCGTATTTTTCTTTTTCCTTGGATCTTTTGATTTTTTTTGCCTTCTACGACTTAGTTGTGTTTCTGCAACCCGTTCGTCGTCGTCATTGTCGAGGTTTACGGGTTGAGATTGAGATAATGAAACTTGAGATGGTTGTGAAGTTTGTTGACGTTGGGAAGTTTGGGGTTGAAATTGCGGAGAAGGTTGTTGTTGAAAGGCTTGAAATTAGGGTTGAATGAATTGTGGTGGTTGTTGTTGTTGGTAGTAGTGTGGGTGGTATGAAAGATTGGTGAATAGAGGTTGTTGTTGAATGGAGGATGATAACAATTGCTTGTAGCCAAGATTCGCTAACGGATCATTCGGAGTGTTTGAGGGTGTTTGGAGTAGGTGAGATATTTTGGTTTGGATCCATAGTTAGAAGGTAAAAAATATATGAGAATATAGTATTTTTGTAGTGTAAAATTGTTAGTAAAATATGGGGTATTTATAGTTGTAGTTGAATTGGTTTTTAAATTGAAAAGATTTTTTTTTTAATGTGCAACGGCTACAACAACAAAATGGTCAAAATGACCGTTTGCATTTTACTTTTTTCTCATTCGTTGTCTTCTTCCATCTTTCGAGTCACGTCATACCCAGAACACCGACCATTGGGGCGGTGTTCACGCGTCTTCAAGGTCGCCACCTCAACATCACGCATGGGTTTGTATACCCACTCCGGGTAGCCTTACATGTTCACTTGCCATTGGAAATGATTATCACTAGGGGTGAGCAAAAACCGAACCGCAAACCGAAAAAACAAAAAAAACCGCATAAACCGAAACCGAAAAACCGAAACCGAAATAAAAACCGACAGTGTGGTTTTTAGTTTTGCAAAAACCGAAAATGTTTGGTGCGGTGCGGTTTCTAGTCTTGCAAAAACCGCAAAAAACTGAACCGCACCGCATATATATATATATATATATATATATATATATATATATATATATTAAGTGTTGATATTTGTAAAAACGAAGAACTCATGACAATTAAAATTTCTATAAATATAAATATTTATCTTATGAGAGGATGATTGTATATTTTTAAGCATACATTTAGTGATATTTATAAGAACTAATAATGTTTACGACATTTTTTAACATTTAAATATGAAGAGTATTATCGATGATAGTATAATTTTTATTAATACATTAATTAATATTATCTCATGTAAATGTGAAACAAATATGATATTTAATTCGTATTATATTCAAACATTAGAAACATGTTGGATGAATAGTTATGTAATTTGATTTCAAACCAAGAGGTGGTTGTATCATAAAAATTGAACCGCAAAAAACCAAAAGGCAAAACAAAAACAAAAAAATAATAATAAAAAGGAAAACGGACAAAAAACCGCAAAAAAAACCAAACCGTAAAAAACCATAAAAACCGAACCGCATAAAAACCGAACGGTGCGGTTTCTAAACTTCAAAAAACCGAAGTTGCGGTTTTCGGTTCGGTTTTGGGCAAAAACCGCACCAAACCGCACCATGCTCACCCTAATTATCGCTTCATATTTTTTATTTATTTTTTTAAACTTTTTTGACATTATATTAAATAAAAACACAATTATTAAACATACATAAATATTTTATATAAAAAAAACATTAACTTAAATAAAAATAATATTTTTTAAATTCAACATACATTTTACAAAAACCAATTTTAATCCACAAAAAAGAGTAAATTACACGAATGGTCCTTATGGTTTGAGGTAATTTGCATGTTTGGTCCCTAACTTATTTTTTTAACTTGAAGGTCTCTATTGTTTGTTTTTGTTGCGCGTTTGGTCCCTGTCTTACCTAAAAAGACTATTTTTCCCTTGATTTTTTTAATTTATTTAAATAAACACACCCCCGATCCCACTTTCACCTCACCTTACCTTACCTTACCTACCCCGTTTTATTTAAATAAATTAAAAAAATCAAGGGCAAAATAGTCTTTTTAGGTAAGAGAGGGACCAAGCGCGCAACAAAAACAAACTGTAGGGACCTTCCGAGTTAAAAAAAATAAGTTAGAGACCAAACGTGCAAATTACGCCAAACCATAGGGACGATTCGTGTAATTTACTCCAAAAAAATAGCCCACTAAAATATACTTAAATTTATCTAAGCCCAACCTTTTATGTGCCCTACTTTTATTCAAGTTGCAGCCATCCAAACATTGCACCCTCCCATTTTCTTCTTTTTCTTTCTCGTTTGCACGCTACAATTTCTTTTTCTGGCGAGCACATAGAAGATTTCTGGCAGCTTCCTTCAAGAACAACAACCATTTTTGTGACCATTTGGAAGAAACAAATCCCATTGGTCGTGATAACCCGTAGAGCTATCCACTCCACACCACGACTACGAGCCCATTGGGCCGTGTTCACGTGCGGAAATGTCCGCCAGCTCAGCTCTTCACGCGTGAGCATCCCTCCATACCCGAAGGCTTTAACATTTCAACACCAGCTACAACGGTTAGTGATTAGACGAAACAATATTATTAAAAAAAGTCGAATTTAATTTTCAATTTTTAACATTTTTTTAGAAATGCTACTTTCATTATATAATAGATTAATTTTAGGTTCCCTTAGGAACAGTAAAGTTCTTAAGGGTTTGACATAATTGGTCCTTCTAGTTTGCCTATTAACCATTTTGGATTTTTTTAACTAAAGGGTTTGACATAATTGGTCCTTCTATTTTATTAACCATTTTCGATTTTTTTATTTTTATTTTTATTTTTTTTAACTAAATAAAATTCAATACATATCGATGGAATTGCCTGGTTTTTTCTTGAAGTTGCAATTTCGTACCTTTTTATGTTATTTGTATTGGGTCGGTCATTCCTTCTCGATCCTTCTGCACCGCCATTCTTTTCTGATCCATTTAATCATTCCACCGCTTTGAACCTACTCCACGCCCGTTCAGGTCCAGAGCTACCATCTACGTGGTGTTTTTTCCTCTGAGCTTCTATTGCCCACGCAGAAGATAACACCGACAATATGTTAGCGATTGAATCGTCTCTCTGCTGCCACCATCAGCATCTGCCGCCGCCTCCATCTATCTATCAACATCACCTAATTGGCTAATTATATTGGTTACGAATCAGACCCTAAGAACTTGAAGGGGGCGGTGTTCACTGCGGTTTCACATGTCACGTAGGCTGAAAACGCACTCCACTCCCTCTGGTCTCAGCCCTTTTGACTACTACGTAAGTTCGTTTGCAGTTACTTTAAGGCATAAAAAATAACCTTATTTTCGTAATATTGGAATATTGGATTAGTCGGTATGCGAAAGTTGGTTTCGAAATCCACGTTAGGGAAGTTCACTTTACAAAAATAAAAATTAAAAAATAATCAATTTAGAGTACTATTTTGTGTATTATTTTGCCGTTAAAAATGTAACATTTAAAGAATTGATAACTGGTCCTTTTTCTAAAAACTTGCTAATTCTAACCCCTTTAATTCTTTAGCCATTTTGACACTTTTGGTCCTTACAGTGAAAATGTTTACATTTTTTCATAAAAAAGACAAAAAACAGCCCGGGGCGAA